AGTGCACTGTAATAAGAAACACATGCAGTGAATTTACAACAACAGGCAATGTGAAATGTACAGTACTCAAGAGATGGAAGCGTGAAAATACAGAGCTAAGTAACGCATGCACGTTTGTTCCCAATGTCTACACTTCAAATCATATTGAGTTAATTTTGACTCTAGCACTTACATAACAAAAAACCAGCATTACATTTAGCAACCAGATTTGAAGTGACATGATGTGGTTATCATGAGCAATCGCTCAGAGCAGAAGTTACGAAAAATAAAAAAATCGTGTTTCAATGTGTGAGTGTGGTACACAATACACTGCTACCAGGGTCAAAGAGCTTGTCTCTTAAGGTAATGTAATGTGGGAAAATAAAGTAAGTATACTGAAACATAAAAAAATCTGCCCAACAAAGGCATATATTCTGAAGAATATTCCGAACAAAGAATTCTAAGAACAAAATGAAAAGTTTCACCTATAATGTTTTCAAGAACCCAGTAATTTATGTAAAAAAGAATTTCCTTCAACACTGGAAATGCATTAAAAAAAGCGGCGAGCCATGCAGGAACAATGAGATCACCTCGTATCTTCCTACTTGACAAGCATCTTGTCGATATCACATGTTATAAACATTAAAGAAGACAGAAACCGTGGAGCTGAATGAAAAACAGCGAATGCATGAGGTTTCACCCATTCTATGCAATGCTGCACATACACTCATGATAAATTATCTCTGCATAGAGCTTTGATGCTGGAACGCATAAAGGTTCAATCATGCTACTGGACAACATTTTTAGATTTTAAAATGAAGATGACTGAAATGGCACAAGACAAAAAACTAGCTACTGCCAAGTGCATGGAATGAACCGAAAATGTTTGAAAGGGTTAACACTTGAACAGATTGGTAGAAATTCATTGGAATTTGCTAACACTACAGGGAAGGTTTGGAAAGAGATGAGAGAAACAGCGCTCCTTGCCTCTGTTAGTCCCATTCGTTTCCAAATCTTCTTGCACTGTTAACATATTGCAAAGAATGTTTTAGATTGAAAATAATGGCAGAGGAAGTAGCACGTTTGGTTTACAAATTTCTCTTTGTGAATTGAAAGAAACAATTTCTGCATATCTTGTCTTGTTCTATTCTACATTCAAGGACCTAGTAAATAATGACACTGTAACTAGTGCCACATCATAAATATAAAAATGCTCTCACATTACGAGATATATGGCAGCCACAAAATCTGGCACATCATAAAACAGTCATGGCACCACCATCACGGTTTGTGCATGAATAAAGTGAGAGCGATACATGCAATGTACAAATAATACTCTCTAAATGTGCCAAGAGTGCCAGGTGACCCTTATTAAGTCATTTATAGAGATCCTATAGAGGGAAAACAATGGAACACCAGCCAAGCCTTTGAAAGCCAGATATCTTACTTTTTCTGCAGAAATGCACAACTAGAATTTCTAGCTAAAGTTGACACGTATCGTATATTATACACCATGCAGTTATAGGCATATCTCACTACACAAAAGAGATTGGCATTGCAGAAAAATGAAGAGATTTCTCACATCATAACTTGTACAATTTTTTTGATGACATCAGCTTTTGCTGACTGGTAGCATTGATATTTAGGCCCAATGCTTTAAAGCATGCTTATTTGAGTATCTGAAATGCTGTCTTAAAGAACTTGGGTGCAAACTGAAAGAAAGCTTTATCACTCTTTCCAAGGGTTGTGTACCGATGCTCTTGTCTGTATCAATTGAAAGACCACAGGCTCCACTTAACATCCATATCCTTCTGACAAGCCCATAGCAATAAAGGTGCTGAGCACAGTATAGCCCACGTTAACATTACCAAGTTAATTCTTTTATTATAAAAAGGCACCTGTTCTCCTTCACAAGTTACTTATCCACAAATGCATGCTATAGTATTTGTTTAACTACCTGTATGTCTTTCTCATTCAGAACAACCTAGTTGGTAGATAAATAGAAAATAAACAGTATTTTTCAGTTAACTGATTTCAGGCATGTAAATTACAGAGACCCCTTAATTTATTAACTTTATGCATATCATTAGGTTAGTTGCCACCATACATTTTTCTAAAACAAACAAAAACAAACTGTATGCACGAGGTTTTAAACACATATTACTGGCAACTATAACAATAACCAAGGAAAGTTGTGGCAAACCATACCACTTGAAAATGAAGTGCAACAAATGTCTTTTCAATGATGACAAAACGGTTTAAAAGGATGCGCAATGTCCATATGAGTTTCACTTTTACAAAAATCTCTTGACATTATTTATAAGTGATCACCTAAAAGACTCTTATGTTCCAGATTTAGGCTATTCATATATTGCACCACTAACAGTCACTGCAAGGAGCACCGTGTCTCTCAAATAACCGTCGACTATCTGCATCTGCTGGCATAGATAATTTGACCGCTGGGATATCGAAAAACACCCTACCTTTTTTTTTTGTGCAATACTGTGCAAAATATTTATTCAATCATTACTGGCTGGCCAACTACTTAAACAATGAAAGGTTGCTACAGTTAAATGAGTTCAGCGGAAATCTGCAAGGTGCTGGACGAGTGAAGAAAGGAAAAGAAGACAGCCACTCGCTCGTAGCATGAAGCCACAATAAAACCTATACAAATTTCTCAGAAAGAAAGCCTCTTAGTTGCCGAAAAATTTGACCTGGTCAGAGGTTCGAACCCGGCACCAACGCCTATCCAGGGCGGTCGCTCTGCCAATTGAGCATCGGTGTCATCGGTTCTCAATTGGCAGAGCGACCGCCCCGGATAGGCGTTGGTCCCGGATTCGAACTTCTGAGCAGGATGAATTTTTCGGCAACTAAGAGGCTTTCTTTCTGAAGAATTCGTATGGATTTTATTATGGCTTCGTGCTACGATCGGGTGGTTGTCTCCTTTCCCTTTCTTGTTCCTACAGTTATTCGAGTACTCAAAGATGGAAACAAAAAACAGCCAGACAACTGCTGCCCCTTTCCTTAACATGCATTTCCTATAAAATGTTGGAGCCCATTATTGCATTGCATATCTACAAGCCATCTGGAGACTAATAATTTATTTTTCAATAATCAACATGGTTTTTAAAAGCATCAGTCACTTGATACACAGTAGCTCCAGTTTACCACCAAATTGTACTTTACATTAAAAATAATTAACAAACTGATAGCATTTCGCTAGATTTTTTCAAAGCTTTCGACCAAGTGGCCAATCGTCGGTCCTTTTCTAAATTAAAATCTATCGGACTAGATTCCGCTAGCTTATCGTGGATTAAAAATTTTTTTATCATCTCAACAGAAATTTATAGTGATTAACAATCGCGCTTCTCCCTTTACTGATGTAACATCCAGAGTCCCTTAAGTCAGTGTTCTAGGCCCTTTATTTACTCTTCCTGGTTTACGCTTTTGTCTAGATAGAGTAACAAAGGCGTACTCTATCTAGACAAATGTCTGAATTTTTGCCCCCCACCCTCCCCACTTTTTTTGGGGTTTAACATCTGAGGACGATGCGCTTCACGAGGGCAGTGGAAGCGGCCGCGACAATGATTTCCAATCAGAATTCGCAATCAGTGATTTCCGCTAGACCGCGCATGACCGAATCTGACTGGTTAAAGTATGCACTAATTCTTTCAAACTTACACAAGTACACTGCGTTTGTGCTCCAATTTATTTCTTCTTTTTTTATGTACATACTGCACACGTTAGGTTTGTGACACAATATTTCATAAGGGCTCGCTAAATCCCTGCGTAATTTGTGCACCCCCTTCTTGGGGCCCCAAAATTTCGAAAAAAAAAAAATGCACAAATTATGCAAGTAAATAAGGTATATGGGACTCGAGCATTTCTGCCTCCATCGAAAATGCGGCTGTCACGGCTCTGATTTACATTAATGACCAGCCCACTAACATTTCTTTAAGCATAAGACTACAATATTTGCTGATGATTGTATCATTAATAGAAAAATATCTTCTAATGATCACCATATCTCGCAAGCCTTATAGGTTATGTCGTGTAAAAAATGACAGATGGTACTGCACACAGGCAAATGTGAACTCATTTTTTTCACTCACAAACAATCTAACTCAGATTTCCCCTATGTTATTAACAACTCAGCCACATCTTGTGTTCATTCATTCAAGTATCTAGGATCCAACTCATCACCTTTTTATGGTCCCCCACATTACTGCTATTTGTGCTAAAGCATCATAAACACTTGGGTACATTCACTGCAACGTGCATCAATCGCCACCTAAAATTGCAAGTTAGCATACCTAACAATAATATATTAACTGTTGGGGTTTAACGTCCCAAAGCGACCATATGATTATGAAACACGCCGTAGTGGAGGGCTCTGAATATTTCAACCACAAGGCATTCTTTAACATGCACCTAAATCTAGACACAGCATTTTTTCCTCTGATCAAAAATGTGGCAGCTGCGGCCGGGATTGGATCCCGCAACCTGCAGGTTGGTAGCTGAGTGCCTCATTAGACCACTGTGGCAGTTTAGCATACCGAACATTCATTCATGTGCAGTTAGAATTAGTGCCATCAAATTGGTCCTCTCATCAAGACTACTTAATTACTACCTTAAAGCTCACACAAAACTGTGCTTTATTATAGGAAATTACGAGTGCAAGTCCAGTACTATAAAAATAAAACTCAAACATTCACTGCACTCTGTTCAGGTTCGCCGGTGTTCTCCTTTTGTGTCTAACACCAGGTCACATTCTTTCCCTTTTGGAAAAACCACTGCACATGAATCCAGGCAGTTCCATAAGCAAAGCAGTTTTGAATGCATCCTTGGTAAAACAAGGGCATCAATTTCATATGCCATTTAACTTTTGAATTATCTACCTGGCGATATCCATTTCTACCACTAATAGATAAGCCTCCTATGACCACTCGATTAATTATTTCATGCTTATATGGTTAATTTCTCATTTAATTATATTCCAGACGTGTTACTTCATACATTTCTTTTTTTGTAATATTGTGTGATGCTGCCTTATATATTTCAATAGTATTGTAGACATGGTGTGTTTAAAAATCACTGACTGTCAATGTTATTTAAGTTAGCATTTTTTCCCGCTTCAATATTCCTTCCTTGTTCATTTTTTCTACCTGAAAATTACTCCTTCTTTTTCAGGTACTCAAATGCATAACGATATCTCAGTGCGCCTTTGAGAATGTAGATTACATTTAATTTTTTCTACATTTGTCACATGTTCTATATTAACCTTGTATCGCCCCCTCACACAACACTCCGATAAGGAACCTGTAAGATATTGTGAATGAATATACAAGACTACTACATTTTTATCCTACTGAGCCAAGTCGTACTAGTACATCAACCAGGCACAAAAGAGTTAACAGTATAACTAAATTCAATGTGCATTTTTCGTAATGTTTACAGTTTATAATGCTTACTTCTATTAGTGGGCCAAAACAAGACACATCTAACTTCAAGTTATGTTAAACTGTTTCTTTATGATATAAAACTGTATACATCATATATTTATAATACATAAATTTTCATGAGGTCCCCAGTAAAATAACTTCCACAAACTTAGATTCTTTCATGCTTTATACAGAAGCATAGGTGAGCACTCAAACAGTGTTTTCAATAAAAATTTTGTTTAAGGCACTTACAATACTTAAAGGGGCCTTAAAACACTTTTTCAAGTAACCATAAAATGAATTCAATAAAAGAGTTCATTGCCTCACGAATTCAATGCCGCAAAAAACTTTAAGAATCCTCCCAGTATGAGCAGAGTTACTAAGACTTATTGCATGCTGCGATTACATCCTCTCTTCTCTCGACCCAACAAAAGCACAGGTAACTAAGCAGGGAGGGATGGAAGGGGCAAAAAAAAAAAAAAAATATGTCACGCGAGCCTCGTGACCTTGAGCACTGTTTTCTTTTTTTCCCCCTTTGAATGCATGGCTTTTTCAGTCTGATCGCGAGCACACACGTGGTCAAGTCACGGCCTTCCATGGCAATCCCTGTAATGACCGAGCGCGCCATGTTCAAATCAGCCAATGACTGATAGATTGCCTTTCTATGAGTGATTTTTGAGCGTCTTCTGTCATTTGTTAAGAGAAGAAAAAGCAATTTTGAGCTGACTTTGAATATTTATTGCGAATTCCAGGCCGCATGCTGCACTATAATATTTAGCTTGCGTATTCTCGGGAGGCCCTACTACCGATCGACAGCGTTTTCTGACCATGCTCAAAAAGTGTTGCAGGGCTCCTTTAATAATGCAGAAAAAAAGAGAGGGAGAAAAAATCTGCCTTCCAATCATTGTTAGCACAACACTCATTGTGGCTCTAACATCAATTTAAATGTTGAAGAAAACTGATGGACTGTAAATATCGACTAATTCGCTCAACCACACTACCTGCAATAAATTTTATTGCATTCAATAGGGACGCGATGCATTCCAAGCTTGAATTGATGCTATTTTTACTGCAGTGTTGAACAAGTGCCAATGGGATACCTGAAATATCAATTATTATTAGAATTAGGTGTACTAACATAGTCTTTACATTTAAAAACCATTCACACAGATGTCATCAGATATATGATAACACCTTCAGGTCTACTGCTGAATGGTTAGAAAAATATAATTCCGGCGATAGTGGGCTATTATGTGCAGAACTCATTTCTACTTGATCACAACCAGCCAAAACCTACGTGTAAAGAACATTTCACCATAGTGGAGGCACACATTTTATGTTGTTCTTTAACCTTTTACTTGCCAATGTTCCAAAATTGGAACATACGAAACCTAATTTTTTATTTCCTCTCCAATATATCGCTTATTAATATTATAAGTTCACGCATACTCATTGATGCTTGTGAAAAACATAGCAGTTTTAATTTCTATTATGAACCTACGGAGAATCATTAGATAAATTTTTAAAAACATGCATATTTTGCGCTCCTTGACCACCAGATGTTTGTTGCACTATTCCGCTGGAAAAAGTAATGTTGCAGTGAGCAAAGCAGAACTAAAATATTGGCAAATAGTTCGGGATTACGTGGCAATACAATAAAAAATAACAAAGACAATCTAGTTTTCAGCTTGAGAGTTTTGTGCGGATGTTCCTTTTTTGGAACATTGGCGTTTCACAGTGTCAAACGCAGCGTAGACGCACGCGAGCATTTCGCCTCGTTCTTTTTCTTTTTCTGCCTTGTCGATGGCGCCCGCTGGGCGGCGCTTGGCAGAAACTTGAACATAAGCTTTCCTGGGCATCATTTTGAGTTTGCCAGACACGTGGAAAGAGCAGCATTGAACTACAGTGCCTAGCTACATCAATCCCTGTGAATGTAGGTAGAAAACTACCTTGCAGCTGGTTTTCTTTTTCTAGTACTGTGCTTTACACCGCAATAACTTTCGTTGTAGGTCATGGCACAACGCTTCCTCACTTTGGAGGCAGCAATTGACCTTTTGTTCAGCCTTCCCGGTGACGAACGCGAAGGTGCGTCTGTATGCCAATTGCTGCCAGTTGAAGATGGCAATATTACTGACGAGGAACTCGTGAACGAAAACGACTTTTCTGAAGTTGTTCCCGATGATGTTTGCTGGCACGTTGAAGTTATGCAGTGCAGCGATGAAGACGTTGATTCGTCTTCTGCATGTTCGAGTCCTGAGCCACGACGAAAGAAACCAGCGGGGCGGCAATTTACTGCTGGAAAAGGACGCAAAGCTTCAACGAACGCTCGGAAAACAAATACTTCAAAGCGCTCCCATACACCAGTATGGGGTGAACATGCCACAAGAACCGGTGGTTGTCCACTGAAGAGCTTGAAAAACATCGAAAAGGAAGAAAGAGGATCTTTCCACTACAAGTGTGACGGGGCAGTCTGCGCATGCAGGTGGAATGACAATGCAGTCGTCACAGTTTCATCTAACCACCTCAGCCAAGAGCCTGTTGGAAGTCCGAAACGCTCCTCACGACGCTCAAACAAAAAGGTGGACATTCCTCAACCATAATTGATCAGAAAATACAATTAGGGCAGGGGTGGAGTAGATATAATGGACCGCCTCCTCGGAACCTATCGACCGAGACTGAGGAGCAAGAAATAGTGGTGGAACCTTTCCAGCAATGGTTTGAACATAGCTGTCGTCGCAGGATGGCTCCTCCACTGTGAGATTCACAAGGGTAGTGATGGCGCCATGACGCACATCGCCTTTCGGCGGGACGTCACCATGTCCTTGCTGCAGCTGAAGCAGAAACTCACTGTAAAGCCCAAACTCCATAAGCGCAAAAATGCACGCGACAGCGACGAGCGACGCTATGAGCGACGAAACAGGGCGTTCGCGCGCGTTGTCGCGTGCTCATTTTCACGCGATCGCTCGGTTCTCCAGATTTGAAAACCGTCGCTCATCGCCCATAAGTGATGGGCTCAAGCAGCCAATAGCGAAAAACCGGAAAAGACGAAGACTACATAGGTGCACGTGACCCTGCCCGAGTCACGTATGCGCAACAAGAAATAACGCAATGTTTGTTACGCATGCGCATATAAAAAATGCTGCAAGGCAATAATAAACACTTTCCGTTTCATTACACAACAATATATCTTATTTTTAAATTGCATACCGCTCGCTACGCGGTTTTCTTGGTGCGAGTTGACGGCCTCATGCCAGCAACAGTGGAATTCGCTCGCCGAAGCCGTCGCGTGAATGAGGTTTGCCTGCGCTAGCGACTGATCGCGCGACGCCGATCTACGTCGCGTCGCTCGTCGCTGTCGCGTGCATTTTCGCGCTTATGGAGTTTGGGCTTTAAGACCTGGACCCTGGGTTCATCCGAGATATGAGGACAGAAACACTGATGGCCACTACATCATCTCAACGACTCAGGGAAGGTGCGCGGAATGCAAGAAGAATACAATGAATCAGTGCCAGCAGTGCAAAAAGCAGATGCACAAGAAAGGCTTTGCCGCTTACCACGGTTTGTGATTTGCTCACTGTAGTACAGCCAGTAGTATGACAGAAGAAATTTTCATAAAGTGTTGTTTTAAATATCTATGCTTTTCAGAGACATCGTATGACGCTAAATATTATTCTTCCGTTATCCTGAATGAGAAAACCCGACTGAAAAGTCAATAAAAGTTGTTCCAGAGAAAATGTGTGTTTAGCATATGGGAAATGCCAATGTTCCAAAAATGGAACATGCGAAAAAACATGCTTAGTCATTGTGAATGTGGCTGGATTTTCGATCATAGTTAATTTAGAAGGCCAATGCAAATTATCAACATAAAGTTCAGTTTTTTTCCTATGGCTTCATAGTGCGGCATTTAAAAGGTTAAAAACAGTTCATCTCATTTTCATATGCTTCGCTTCTTCTTCTGTGCACAGCCATGCTTCAGGACTTACATACTGGTGATCTAGTGACACATCCAGGGCACCAAAGTCAATGTTAAACAAGTTGTATAATTTATATAAGGTGAGTAACCAGCACACAAAAACGTTTCTGCTCGTTTGAAGGGGACAGACAAACAAATACTGTTTAAGTCTCACACCTGTATATTTTTGGAGTATTCGCTTTCTTAAGCTCCTGTAATGTTACTGACACACTGCCTACCTACTGAGTGCACCTACAAATTCACCTGTGACATATACAACAAAAATATTTACTATGATTCACACACAGCCCACTCCACTCAGTCAAAACATAATTTAGGGGTGCGACAGCTGCATCAATTGCGCCAATTTGAAATAATTTCCCATTTTTGCGCCGAGCTGCACTAAAAACATGAAATTTACCGAAATTGCGCCATGCTGCGCCAAAATGCCTGACCAACCTCAAAATATTCTCAGTTACCTTAATTTCTGCGAGAGAGGCCACATTGGCCACCTGTATCTGAAGCTTCATCAATCAAACCAGGGATCCAGGTGCGCAGGCATTAGTTCTGAACTACAGTGTAAGATATATACTACTTAGGCCGATACACGGTCGACCACATAAACTAACACTGTGCACTGGTCAATCCACTGACCTTAGCGGATAATTATCAGCGGGACGACGCACTTTCAAAACAAAAATCACAGCATATCCACGAAGTGAATGATGGCGACTGGGCGAAGCTCTGGGGTATCATTAACCCCCGTACATTGGCCACTCGATATGGCGAATTACGCCATATCTACGAAGTGAGTGATGATGAAGGAGCTTGTTTAGTCCATCTGTCTAAGCTCACCAACACTTCACTAAAGCATGAGTCTCCTACGCATCGCAGTGGATGGATGGATGTATGGCTGTGCCCTTTAAATCGGGCGGTGGCTCACGCCACCCAGGCATAAAAAATTTCACTCGCACCTCGATTGTAGCCACCAATCCGTTAGCCTCCTCCTAGTTATTTCTACCCGTTTAAAGTCTATTTTGCCTTCACTGTCTCTAAACCCCAATGCTTTGAAAATTTCGCGCCATTATCTTCGACTATAGGGTGGAGCCCTTTACAGAACATTCAGCCCTTTCCTCCTCCTCTCCACACTCACTACATACCGTGTCTGTGCCTTCGTATTTTGCTCTGTATGTCTTGGTCCGCAATACTCTTGTTCTAGCCTCGAAGAGCAGAGAACTACCTCGAGAATTATCGTAGATCTTTTCCCTCGCAATTTCCTGCTTAAAAGTTTGGTAGGTCTCCAGTAATGATTTCGTAAGCATTCCAATCTTCTACATGTCCCTGTCTGTTTCCTTCACCTTCTTCTTAATCCATGTTTCCTTTTGGCTTGGTATTATGCTGTTGTCTAAATACTTGCTTGACAATTTTCGAGTTCGCTTCCTTTATTTAGTATCAACATTCTATATGTACAAGTAGCTGAAAACTTTCCTAGCCCAACGCTCTTCTCCAATTTTTCTCAATCGCTCCTCTAATTCTATCTTGCTGCTAGCTTCCCTGCACTCAAACGATGTCCATCCCATGTCTCCCTGTACCCACTGATTTGGGGTATTCCCGTGTACTCCCAAAGCAAGTCTACCTTTGCCACATTGTTTAATTTCCAATCTTGCTTGAATTTCTGATTTCATGCACAAGACCGCATTGCCGAACGTCAAGCCTGGGACCATGACGCTTTTCCAAATCCCTCTCACAACGTCTTACCTATTGAAGTTCCACAGTGCCCTATTTATCATTACAGCTGCATTCCTGGTGCCCCAAGTCATTACATATCTTTCGTGCTCCCTTAGATACTCAGCCCTGTTATTGATCCATACGCCCAAACATTTGTATTCATCCACTATCTCCAGCGTGACTTCCTGTATCTTATGCTCACTGCCTTTGTTATCATTAAAAATCATGATTGCTGATTTTTTCTCTGCTGAACTTCAAATTTAACCTATCTCCCTCATTATCACAGATGTCTATCAATCCCTGCAGATCGTCCTTGTTGCTAATAATACTATATCATCTGCATATATCAATGCTGCTAATGACTGGGGCAAGTGCCGCAGTGCCATCTAGTGAGCTCTCCGAGCACAAGGGTGGCTACTACGCCGACGTGGGACAAGTCTACACCCTAAGGAGCTTCGCCCCTAAAACAAGTTGCCATAGCCAGCAACACTGCGCGAGAAATATGAATTTTCAAGTCAGACTGCGCTCGAACAAGCTCGACATGCTGCGAACACTCGCATTGCTAGTGAGCACGTTAGTTGCCATAGCAACAGCACATGCGATAGATACCTAGTGCCGTCACCGGCCAGTGGGCGTACGCCTTTGTTACTCTATCTAGACAAAAGCGTCTTGCAAGTGAGCCGAAAAGTTGTGCTCTAAGCCTATCCCATTGTGAAAAAAAGAGGAGAGGAGTGTAGCAGTTTGAAAACTTCTTGGCCTTGTACTAACTCACACAGAACACCGCGTAAACCACCTTTGCCGCAGTACACAGGTAGCCCGCGGAAAAGCATTTTAAGATTCGGAAGAGGTTGTTAGCACTTGTCACGGGACTCAGCACAGCTCGTTCAATTACTCATACGCTTATATGCTGCATAATTGCAAGTACTAATATGATCGCCGACGTCCAAAAAATTTACTGGCAATCATTTGGAGCACTGTATAACATTTCTGTATCCCTAAAAAAATAAAAGAAAACAGTTCGCCAGTTTTCTTATCGCCACCTTTACCCTTCGGTTTTACGAATCCCATGAATCTCAAAGTCGCCAGCTTGGCAGATCCACATATGAATCCTCGGAGTCTGTCAAAATACTTAACAGGCGTGGCAAATGCTAATGTGGATTTTATCTTTTTAGCTGAGTGGGTTATTTCAAAATGCTACTTTTATTGAAATAGCAGTGCATATATTCACTCTGCACGATTTAGGGGAAGTGCAATGGTTTGTGCATATTTTTTTTCACTGTAACCTGCTCCAAATTTTATTTCTGCTGTTGCAGCGCTGATAATTGGTTTTCCTTGAATAGCTGTATGTAACACAAACTGTCCTCGCAGAGTTTTCTGGGCCACCAGTTTTCAAACATGAACAAAAAGGAGTTGACACTTGGGCTTATTGGTATTACATTACTGAGCCTAACAGTCCAAGCAATCAAGTACACACTGGAAAAAACCCACACCACAGCACTCTTGAGAAACAGTCTTCTTGTGTCTAGTACTATCTCTGCATGTGATTTTTTTGTGCTGTTTGTTCCAGCAAATTTAAAAGCTCTTCTCGATATTTTTATGGCTCAACTGTAGATTAAGAATAGTATTGATGTACCACAATGAAACATTTTAACCACAGGTGCAAATTTGATAGTCTGCATTTGTTCTTGAAAACTTCTAGAATGGTTATTTTAGAAACTCCTGCAAGCGTTATGTAACCAAGAGGGTACTTGGGAGACTTATTGGTGCATAACAGAGCAGACAAACACTGTAATAATGGGATGTAGTAGACTCTATGCTCTGTGTACCATCTTCACTATGCCCTGCTGTGGTGCTCTACTTAACTATGCAACCAAGTTTAATGTTTCTACAAACTTAAACACAGCTAGGATGAGCACAGAGAGTAGGCAGGTGTCTGCATGGAAGTGTTATACAGCACACTCGGGCGTGAAACTCCAAGTGTCGACAACAAAAGTAACAGATTGATGCAGCCTAAATGAGAAGATAAGCCTAATCACCATGGCTAGTTCAAGTCTACAAATTTGACACAAGGCACATAAAATACATGAACGAAGTCTCCAAAGAAAAAGCAGAATTATGGCTAAATAACAAAGCACCATATGCTTCCTTTTTGAACCAACTAGCTACAGTTTTAAGCATAAATATTAAATTGCAGTTTTGTCAAGGCTTAAAAATAGGAGTATGTGAATTATGATAATAAATTAGATGTGCTCTCAACATAAAAAAAACAAAAAATAAAAAAAAAAACATTAGACGTTTTGCTTTGGAAATATGCAGTAACTGAAAGGACACAGTTCTGCTACTTCTCTACAATGTAATTTGAAAGGCACTACTATCACTGCACTTCGCTAAAACAGCTAAGAATGTGCATGATTGAGACACTGCAAATGTCTGAATATACTTATCACTGACAGAACTATGCAAGTAAATTACAGGAAAAAAAAGAAGAAAAATAGAAGGGAAAGGGAGACAGTTGAAATAGAGAAACATTGAGGACCTTTGTCAGATAAAAGGGGGCAAAGAAGAAAAATTTAGCATGATTCTCATTCATAATGATGCCACAACCATTCGCTAGATTTAATGTGTAAACTGTACGTCATCAAGCAAAAGTGCCTCAGCTCTTCACATGATCTTGCCCTACTGCAGTTATTTACAAAAAACTATTTACATAGTTCATGATGAATGAGCTGCCTCACTTAGCAACTTTTCTTGTCTTGACTGAATGAATTTCTGCATTGACACTGCAATGGTTGACACAAAAAGTACAAAAAAAAAGGCCACTTCTATAATAAGAACAGCCAGCCCCCTTGAAGTTCAGAAAAAAAAAAGCAATCAAATATTCAGACTGCATTGACTAATGTTGACTTATAAAAAGATGAGCCAAGGCCCAGGACTTTAAACAAAATCTGAGCCAAAGAACTGCTGTTTCCGCACCCTTCTCGATAGGCTTCTTTCAAAGAACTTCTTCAGCTCTGATACAATAAAAACTGTTGACGATACTCCAACAAGGAGGCAGATATCTGAAATAGAGCAGAAGAAAAATGTAAGAACTGCATAAATGTACAAATCCCTTTAAAATTGGGGAAAACAAAACTGCCAGTGTGCAAATAGATGTTTGCCACATGGGTCTCTGGTGCTACATTATTAGTCTCTTTTGCTACACTTTTCTACTATAAAGCCCCTTTCCTAAAACATTTTCAAATTAAGCAGCTGATGGGCTAAGACATAAAAACCATGCCAAATATAATGCAGCCACACAAACCTGCAAAGTTTAAAATTAGTAAACTGCTCCAGCCAACAATACAGTAGGTTAAAAAAGGGAGGGACAGCACTTCTGATTTATTAAGCAATCAATTTTACTAATACATTTTATTGTAGCATCGCACCAGTCTTGGCCAACTGCTGCACTAAAAAACAGGAGAGCCGCTTGGCTCGTGATGCATGAGCCACGCAGAATTGAGAACGGCTTAGCACCTGGTCTGGCTAGACGCTGCAGCCGCGACCTCGTCTACACTCGTGTCGCAAATAAAAGCTGCGGCCACGGCACAGCCTCATCGCTGCCGTCTCATCTCACGTTCCTTAACAATATAAACCTCACCCAGCTCGCTTAGGCAGCAGAAATCGTGACACATATATACCACAATCTAAACAGAGACCAAAAACAATACTCTTATGTTCACAGAGCTAGTCACCATTTGGAATGCCATAACCATGATCCTCCTGCTTGCAATATCAATATTGTAAGTAACACAACAAAATGGCACAATAGAAAGGACGACACAGAAAGGAAGAACAGGCACATGCGCACTGTTGGGCATTGACACATGAGATAACAGAGAAGTAGAAAAAGCGGAAAAGCAGGACAGCAGTGCTAGTGAACCATATTAGTTTACAATACAAACTTAACTTATTAGCATCCTCAGCTATTGCAAGCATTTAGTCATGCTACCCAAATCATCACACAGAACAAATATGGTCTAAGACATGATGAACATCACCTCTTATTGCATGCACCTCTCAAATATAAAAGAAAGTGGTTTAATCTCCCTGCTGTGAACAGACAAGCATGGCAAAAGCTGACTCCACGTTTTACATGCCTGAAGGTCATTTTAATGAAGCTGCTTTTCCAACTCTGCTTTTCCAACTCACCCTGACCCAAGCATATGTAAATGGCCATGTACACACATAAAATTCGTTAACAGTATCATGGGATATGGTAGTATCTAATATTCTCAAAAGGGAAAAAGATCTGCAGATGATGCACAAGAGCACAAAGCACACAGAAACTGTGGGCGCCTTTTTGTTTGCTATGCTGTTTACTTCAACAAATCTCTAAGTAATGTTTGAAGAGATATTGAACAAAACTTTTGCCGCCAATGTTTTCAACTAAATTTAAAGATTGGATCCTGAAATCTATAGGGACAACCTTCATTGCAGGCAGAAACTACACGAAAAGAATAAATTTAATGCGTTTTTCACAAACTGCCACATCTAGTGGCCGCAGCGTGAACTAGAGAAAACGACATCGCATATGCCCAAAACGGGCAAGTCAACAATGCCACCCGTCGCCTGCATCTCTCGACTCGCTAAGCTCCCCCTGTGGTTTCCAGAACCGGTTTGAGCAGCACTGGTAGCGAACAACATTTTTGGCTGGGGTAAAGCAACGGCACTTCCGTGGAAGTGGGATGAAAGGAGAGCCGGAGAGAAGGAAGAGGAGCAGGAGCACAGGAACACGCGCATCCTGCATGCGCCTTGGCGATTCTGATGTCACGACTATCGCTTGCAAGCAGCTGCCGCGAGCTGACAATGCATAAAAAATACAGCCAACTTTTAAAAAATACAGGAAATTAACTCTGTTTATCAGAACACTAGCATCTTTCGAATAGAATTTCGAAGTTTCGTCAGTTTTTCCCACTTTTGATAAGTATCCCTTCTAGCAAATAATGCCATAGAACGTACACGTTGGTGAAATGGTCTAGAGTATGCGCATGCGTGCTATGCACAGCCAAGTGCAAGTGTCCTCAGCTGTGCTGTTCTTATGGGCACATTCACTCCTGGTACTTTCTGCTGCATTATCAGTCCCTTAGTTTCCTTCATGAATGCCATACACTTCCACCTGAAAAGCATGAGCATTGAGGAGGCTGAGACACGCCCACTGATGTCCCTCTGTTTCGGCACCAGCATAGCAGACGGCGCTTGTAGTTCAGTCTGCTTTGTGCGCTCGACGTTGTCGGCACAATTTGAAAGGGTGTACTTAAGGTGCATGCTAAGAAACCCAAGAGGCCAAAATGATCAAAGTTCCCTACTGAGATGTGTCTCATTATCAAATAATAGTTTTGGCTAGGCCTATGAGTATATTCGAATGCTTCGATTCGAATTCAGATAATTGAAAATTTCGAAGCATTAGAAATTAACAAGTAGATGTACTGTATTTACTCGCATAACAAACACACTTTTTTTTTTTGAAAAATCGGAGCAAAGTTAGCGGTTGTTACGTTTGGCCCGGCAATTCGTCTGGGCAGATGCCATTGTGCGTAAGCCAGTTCGCTAGGGAGGCTTTCAACCCCATCGGCGCCCAGTCTGCAAGACGCAAGACGCTGTCCGGTAGATGTTCCAGAAAGCAGTCGGGTCTCAACGAAAGCTTCGCGAGACAAGTCTTTACTTGAACGGGCTCGAACAGCGGGGGAACGGTGCCACTGAGGCGGGTCTCATTAAGTCAACCTCTTGACTCTGCTTTTGTCATCTACGCGAGGCCATCTCAACGCACCGACAACTCGGAAGCGTGGTAACGCGCCGAAGAAGCCGTTCACCGGGACCGAGCATTTGGACTGCCTGAAGCTGAAAGCACCATGGATTGCTGCTGACGTTCGGGTTAGCGGCCATCTCCCCGGAGGAGCTCAACTTTCCCTCTCCGGACTCTACCTCCTCGCATTGCGGTGCCTTCAAGGCGTGGGCCGGGTGTGTCTCTGTGTGGTGCGTTCCTGTTACCATTGGACCGTTTCGCCTAGCCGAGTGGTGCAATATCTGTACCCCTTCTGGTGGGTGGACCATAAAGACTTCGTCCCCTGCTTTGTGGCAAGAAGAATCACCGCCTCCTTCAGATGGCGGTGACGGCAGGCTATAAAAGCCGAGGCATTTTAGTAAATAGTGCTGAATCTTGTGCGGAATCATGAGCGGTATCATGAACTGAATCTCTGTTGTACATAATGCGGGATCTTATGAATCCCTGTACAGTTCCTATCTTTCATCCATCATGTAAATAAATCTTCGTTCTACCTCTCTTAACATGTCCCCTCACTGGCGAAGATCGTTTATGTGGATGACGACGGGGTGCCAGCTACCCTAAAGTGAGCCCGCCATTCCTGCCACCATCTTCCTACCCTTTACAGGGTGCATTTATTATGCGGGGCAAACTTTATAAAAAATTTATTGAAATGAGCAAAAATGTGGTAATGCAAAAAAAAAATTAGGTCGATTAGCCTTTCGCATTGACATAAGCGTACACTATTTCGAAAAAGCTTCTCTGTTGCACTTATGTGATCTTCGGTGGTTGATGCTTTCATCTTATGCAAGCAGTCCCCACGTCATCGCGCACGCCATGGAAGCGTTTTGCGGCTATTTTTTCTCGCAATTGTTTAACCGCAGCAGTGGTATCTTCTGTGATCTCGAGGGGTGCCCAGAAATGTGTGCTACGACACACCTTGCCAACTTCGCGGAAACCTCGCATGACGACCGCGCCGCCATTGTTGACATTGTAGCAAGTAACCAACCTTGCAGCAAGCTACTCCCGAAGCATCCGTTGATGACAAGATTAATGACAAAATACAGCCACCGCCTCGCTTGCACAAGAGAAATTTCTGTACGCGCGGAGAACAGGCGAAGCATGAATTGGGGGTGCTACCATGTTGCGGAAATCGCCACGATCTTTTCTGGGTACAAGCGATTTTTCTGGTTTGCCATAAGCCTGCGACGATACAGTGACGAATGACTCTTCGCAACAGCAAATTCTGTCGTCGTCGCTTGAAAATCGCGTGCTCATCGTTGGGCCTTAATTTTTTGTATTTACAGGAAGCGACTATCGGTTGGCGTGGGCAGTTTCATGACCTTTGTTGGCTGTGTGCTTATCAGCTGCTATGTCTCTACACTCGCACTGTTCGTGAACCCTGCTTAGTGTATGGATAATAAAAAAAACAGCAAATGTGCTGCACATAGATAGAAAAAAGAACAATACAGCGCACGGTAACGGGCAAAAGAAGTGAGCTGAGGTGGCCGTGGGGGGTTGGCATAATAATAAAAAAATGGAAGAGATCCAACGGGTAAGGAGGCACCAGGTGTCAGCTGGATTGCAGCGGATGAATGTAGAGGGTGCGTTTATTACAAGGGGGGAAAAAAGTCACAATTTTGACGACTGAAGTTGGCAGTGCATTTATAATTCGAGTGCGTTTATTACGCGAGTACTAAATACGGTATATCCCCTTTGGGCAAAAACTATGATGCACTATCTGGAAATGCGTCAATTTTGCATGACATGATTCCAAGGCACTCTATATTACATCTCAAGAAAAAAAATGAAAAAATGTGTTTTCTGTCAGTTTGAGTACTTTACGTTAAAAGGGTCATGAAACGATCGCTTTAAAATGACAATGCAAAATTACCGGCGTCCACACACACACACACACTAACTAGGCAACGTCATCATAACTAATGCTTTACCTATCAAGAAACGCCGAACTTTTTGATACTTGCGAGCGCGTGCAATTGGTACACCTACCAGCGTCTTTGCCATATGCAATCCACACTAACTTGAACTCTGCAGCTGGCGTCATATTAAGCAGTGTTATTGTGGTACACAGATTAATATGGCAGACGCAGATTAGCGCCTTTTGCGCGCACTCACAGATGCCGTAGAGTTCCTCGTTCCTCGATAGGCAAAGTGTCTATGCAGGTCCACTCAAGTTGATGATATAGTTAGCGCGTGTGGCTGCCGATGATTGATTGATTTGTGGGGTTTAACGTCCCAAAACCACCATTTGATTATGAGAGACGCCGTAGTGGAGGACTCTGGAAATTTTGACCACCTGGGGTTCTTTAACGTGCACCCAAATCTGAGTACACGGGCCTACAACATTTCCGCCTCCATCAGAAATGCAGCCACCACAGCCGGGATGTCTGGCTGCCGATGGTGCCACATTATCGTTGTACAGCGACCTTTTCACGGCTCCTTTAATTATCATGTAATTAAGAACATATTTACTCTGTAATTAATCACCTTTAATCTTTGCTTAAAAAGAAATCAAATACTAGGACCAAAATTTGGAATAAAGAAATAATACTCTTTATGTTGGTTGTGAAATGTGCCACATTGAACGATTGTCGAACATTGCAGTATCTCCAGCAAAGTGATCATCTGCAGCATATGCAGCGCAATGAAATCAAGTGACTGCTGTTTGTTCACTCAGGAAGGCTGCACGAATGTGCACACCAAGTTTCAAGCAATTTAAAGAAATATGCTATGCGTGATGTTTTTACGAATTTTATGTGTACAATTGTACACACCGCCGCCGAAGGAGATATTAGTTTCCATGTAACCTCCTGTAAAGATGGTTTCATTACAGCGGAGGAGTTCTAAGTCGTGAAAACGCCTATCCAAGAAAATCAGCACTGCTACGAGGTATGTTACCTCGTATGTTACATGTTACCCACATGTCGATTCATCATTTTTTAAAGCTTAAAACCTTGTTATGCTGGCTTATACTCTCTAAGTACAGTCAATTTTAAAACATGCCTTATTTTACAGGTAATCACTTGCACTCTACTGAAAGTGGAATCCTTCTACTACTCAAAGTTACTATTTCTATTACCTTTGAACCAAGAAAAGAATGGAATTTGCACCAGCTTTGTTTCAATTTCTAAAAAATATTATGAAGGCTACCCAAGTCATGACAAACATGGCTATTTTCCCTTATAATATGTAATATATACAATTTGAATTCAATTTGAAATTATTCGAACCAAATCACTATTTGCTTCAAACCTAAAATTCACTTTTCCCATAAGCCTAGTTTTGGCACATCAAATAGAAAATTTCAATAAGTTTTCTGGTTTCAAGAAAACTTCACACTTTTGTTTGCATGTTTTTGACAAACAAAAGAAGTGGCCTAATGCTCTTCCCCGATGGGCCACGGAAGCTTCATGCAGCATTAGCATAGGCAAAGATGATAATAGTTCCCCTTTTAGTACCAGCTGGCGATAGCAAGCAATGACTGCTCATCACATCAGGGCAGAACACTGCGCTGATCGTCACTGCCTTGCATATGTAGTCATACAAACTGAAATTAAACTTTGCGGCGGAATATCTTGGAGCACAGACAGGCTAGAATCCTTATAAGTGGAACTATGTGGCTGGCTCCAACTTTTCAACACAAACATGCCTGCTAACTGCAGTCCCTAATAAAGTTCATTATTGAATCATAGTTACTTGAGTGGCTGACAGCGATAACTATTGGTTCACTCTGAGTCCCCCTGGACACATAAAATATATGCAAAGGTAGTTTTCAAGTTCTTCCCAGTGCTGGATTTTAAGGAAACGATAAATCCTAACTATGAATCCCCAATATAATGAACACAATAATGCAAGTTAGCATGGTGAAAAACCCGTGAGTAAATCACAGCATTAAAAAAAATTGAAGAAGAAGAAGAAGAAGAAGAAGAAGAAGAAGAAGAAGAAGAAGGGAGATTGTGAGCTGCTCGATTGGCAACTCAACTTGGATATGACATGCTGTAAAACATACCTAATGCAGTTAGAGCTTCAGTTTGAAAGACCCTCTGAAGTGGTGGGAAGTAGATCACCAACATCTGCCCTATTACAGAAAAGGCCACCGCAAGGAGAAACATACGGTTGCTGAAGAGCCCGATGGTGAATGCAGACTTTGTCTGTACAAGAAAAATAGACAAGTAAAAACTAAGAGAACACTCCGCATAAGTCAAACAACACCCTGAAACTAGCCATATCATTTGCATAAGAAATGCTTTTCAGAAATATTTCTTTTTGTGTTTTATAAGTACATTTACAAGTAGCTGAAAGCTAAATATGCCCTAATTTACAGAAAATACTTGATCAGACCACATAATTGGTACATACATGTACTTTTGTACATCTGCTTAGTTGCTGGGTGGAATCTACCGCTGAAAGCAACCACATGACGGCAGCTTGCCTATCGGAAGCGCAATGGCGTAGATAAAAGGCCTAAGGCACCACCATGCAATACCACCTACGGTCACACCAGTTAACACTATTTGAAGTTTTTCCTTTACATGGTTCATTGCATTTGATGGTAAATCCATGCTTGTTCATACCAATACAAAATTTTGTGCTGCACTATTAACTGTCAAATGCACTCATAATATACAAATGTACTTTGAATCCTGTGAGTGTGACTTCTTTCAATATCTTGAGCACTTAGACAAAAGTTAGTGAAAATTGAATCAAATCAACATAGCTCACTGATAGAGGCCTGAAATGAAAGAGTTAGTATAGACTTCTGAAAATGCTATCACACATATACACCACAATCTGCACCTTCAGTGCTGTGAAAATTTCACAAAAGGCTGTTTGAACCTGCCAGATAGAAAGCTCACATAACTATTTGAGGACAGTAACTCTCAGTAGCATTTTTGAGAGCTTACGACTGAGCTGGAAAATTTTTATGTTGTGGTAGGAGTGTATCAGTCTTACATGAACATGCAGCTCCAACAATTTTTCAATATGAGGGCGAAATACCGATGTTAGAAGTGACTGCCCAGCCACCACAGTTCTTTGTTGGCCTTTGAGATTGAGGCACCTCGATTGATTGATATGTGGGGTTTAACGTCCCAAAACCACCACATGATTATGAGAGACGCCGTAGTGGAGGGCTCCGGAAATTTTGACCACCTGGGATTCTTTAACATGTGCGCAAATCTGAACACACGGGCCTACAGCATTTTCGCCTCCATTGAAAATGCACCCACCGCAGCCGACATTCGATCCTGCAACCTGCGGGTCAGCAGCCAAGTACCTAAGCCACTAGACTACAGTGGCTGGGCGAGATCGGGGCACCTTTATAACCGCGATGTGCCAACTGCATGCTGTACAGTGAAAGCAATGGATCGCTTCGGCAATTAGCACAAAGGGCCAGAAGGACTCTTGTATTGTCTGCTTGCATTCATGTAAAACTACACAAAATGAACATAAACTTTCAATAAGAGCTCTTTTCTCAAAATGCCCCTTGTGGGGCTCGTGAAGAAGTGCTCTCCCTCTACCTTAAAAGACACACGACAAACGCACATGTAAGATTCTATGCATAGTACTCATGAACTGAAATGCAATAACATTTCTTTTTTTAGTGTAACACGGCTATGATAAATTGCTCATAACTGCATCACGACACTTGCAAATCTGGCCGCTACAGGTAATGCTGGCTGTGATGTAAGTGTTCAAGCAAAAATTATGCCAATATGACTCGAACTGTGTAAACGCTGACAACCAAAGCATGTGCATTACTTGGCTCTAAATACATGCGTTGCAATCTGTGGGTACTGTACACACCCTTCCCAACACACAGACACACAAAAGAAGGTTAAATGATTACTCACCTGTGATCTGCAGCTCAAAGCATTGAACATGTCAAAGAAGACAAAACAAGTAAATGTCATAGTAGTGTCCCTCGGTGTCACGATTTGGTCACTCATCTAAAAGGCAGAGGAGTAAAAGAAACATTCATTCATTGTGTCTCCCGTGTTCAGGTGTGCATTCAATACTGAAGTCATATCAACTACCTATGTTAAATCACAGGAAGTTATTTTTCTTGCAGGAAAGTAATGCCCTAAACTTGAAAAGGACACCACAAAGAAGACATCCGAACATACGGAGTGCAAATTACGAACTGCTTTAATTGATCATAGAGAGTCAGTTAAATAGGCAATCCGTACAGAACTGTGCAGAAATGCCCAAACACATCAAGTGCTAATGCACCTTGTCCATCAAAAAGGGCATTTCTGCAGCATGAAGCAATAACGAGACTTTCTTAACAAAAATAAAAAGTGAGTTGTGCGAGTTGCTTTACGGTGCTGAAATGTTCTTTGTGATGGATAAGGTGCGTTAGCACTGGACATGTTTGTTCGCATATCCATAGTTCTATTCAGATTGCCTATTTAACTGACCCTTTATGTTCAATAAAACCAGTCAATAGTTTGCACACAATCTGTTCATGGGTCTTCTTTGTGGTGTTCTTTTTTTTTTAGCGCAATTATTTTCCTACATAGAATGAGCCAACTAACCCCTCAAAACATCCTGGTTCTTTTTATTCTCTTGATAGAACAGCTAGAACACAATGCATGACACAGCAAGTGCTCAGCAAAACTTACTAAATGCTGATACAGACAGGACCATTTGGAAAAAGTAAAACAAGAGACAAAGCCTGCCACCAGAAAAAAATTTTTTCACTGTACCACATCCTTTTGCAACAGGTGGGCTACTCAAATGAGTTCAAGAAATATGGCAACATTTATTGTCAATAAAAAGTCAACAGAAAATCTGCTTCCTCATTCACATTCAGAGATAACGGTTTTCTAATTGTACCATACAGACAAAGAGTGACAGCTCTGCTACAGAACAGTTGTTTTACGGCTGACATTAGGCTAGGGCAACTGATGTATTAACAACAATGCTTCGAAACTGGAGTGAGCATTATGAGAAATTGCACTATTCATAGTGTGGGGTCTTGAAGTGGAACGCCAAGCTCTTGAAGTGAATGGACACAGTAGACGCAGTCGAAACGAACCAAACAACACACATTTATTTAACTACCTTTAGAACGACGACATCAGTAGCCAAGTTAATACATCAATTGTGATCAACGCCCTAGAACAACCTTACACAATATTACACAACACTCAGCCACATAACAAAACACAAGAACATACTGAAGGCGGCGGCGCCAATGCTCGACTAACTACGAGGGCCCACGGCAAACGACCCGCAGTGCCATCTACCGCGGACCCACCGCAAGAGACCCCAGCTCGCTCCGACCCCCACACGCAAAAGAGGACCACTCATTTCTCATATCATGTGCCACCACCCAGGTTTGCCACTAGGTGTCACTGCCGGCGCCACTGCACTAACCACAATGATAATGGTGGTAATAAACGCTCGCGAGCACAACGGCACCTACCGCTCGATAGCTTGAACCCTAAACTCAACCTATGCGCGAAGCACGTACGCCACGAGGCACAAACGACTTTACAGGAGATGATAGCACCCCCAGAATAGTCAGTGGTGAAGAAATTGGCATAGAATCCAACATGCTGGTGCTGTGCACACCCCACTGCAGAACTTCAGGCATTAATTACTTTGTGGAAACTTCAATTAAGAGCGAAATTTCTGACTATGATCACATGAATACAATACGAACGATTACAAAGGAAAACATGAGAGATGCTTCTGCGACACATCACATGCATTAGAGAGACTCCTCACATTACACGACATTTGTCTAGGTGTTTTTTCATTTTTGCTTCCTTTTTATTTATTTACTTATTTAAAACCAGTTCCAAGCGATGGCGTGACTCTGCGGTATGACATCTGCTTGCCATGCAGAAGACCTGGGTTCAGTTTACCTCTAATCAAAGTTTTTATTATTTATTTATTTGCATCTAGGATTTTTCTTATTGACAACACTATTTTTTTACTCCCAACCGACGACACTGACACTAGAATTTCTTCAAAACAAGCTCTTCAAGGCTTTCACAATTAAAATGTGGGCGCCACAGCTGAGAATGAAACTCATCACCTTGGGCTCAACAATCCTACACAACAGCCACAAACCAACGCAAAAGTTGGGCAGTATCAAAAGCTGGGCAGAATGGAGGCTCCTTCCTGCTTTTGTATAAGATCTATTAAGACACCGTTTAGTTAAATCAATGGGGCATTTCGTTTACTCAACATCACTTTAGGACCTCATTTATCACATGGAATACGCATGCATTTCGAAGGAAAGCAATTGAAAAATAGCAGGAAAATGTTTAGAAAGCCAATATTCAAATTACACCAGCAAGGTTTTAACAGTAAGATGGGAACATGAATTAGCAAAAACAAAAGAAGAAATCTCACGCAGTTCAATTTCAAAAAATGAAATGATGGAACATAAAGCTTTGCAACACAAACAACGCATACTCAATATTCCATAATACAAAGGCATGCAGTGCAACAGCATCAATAACATGCACAAGAGTATCAAACAAATTCCAAACATAGTCAACAACCTGGACTTGCTCAATAAATGCGACACCTTCACACTACCACTACCACTACCACTATCACGTAATCTGCAGATCCAACGTACAATTTTTTGCCATGACTGTAGGTATAAACTAGCGTCAAGGGAACACTTGAGCAACAGTGCAGACTTGTCAAAGGGACACTAAAGTCAAATAAAAATTTACGCTAGAGTGAAAGCTCAACATATGACAAGGTCTAAATTGACAATATTATCAAGAACAATGTCCCACTTACTGAGAAATTAAGATAAATGCACAAAAACAGAAGCGCCACAGTAGGACATTCTCAAAATGATCCCAATGACATCAGACGGACCGCCTATAATTAATCACTAATAATCAATCTAGCTGCACTAAATAAAGAACCTTCCGTGCATCAAGAAATGCAATAAAATACTACTTGTTCGTTTGTTTGATTCATGGAAAAAAGAACCGCCGGACCGCCGTGCTGCAGTACTGTTACATTATTCTGCCAAGCATAGCAAACAAAGAAATGGGGCCACTGTGATGGGACATCCTGCTCTTTTTTTTACATGCATCTGCATCTATAACTCGTCTTACTACCACTTATCACCATGAACATACAGCTGAAGCATCAAAGTCCACTGGTAGGCAGATGAGATGATCGAAGGCCTTACGGGAAGGAAGACGCATATTATATATATATATATATATATATATATATATATATATATATATATATATATATTGTAGCAATGCTGAGGCCGACAGGTTAAAAAAACAAGCGTTTTTATTAGGGCGAACTTGTGCCCACGATTCTAAAAACTATGGTCGTCAAGTCCGAGTAACTGAGTGGCACAGATCCAACTATCTTCCTCTTCCTCGTTGTTGGAGCGCACGAACGCGTGGCGTATGCCAGCCCAGCCGGGTCTTGCTGGCGCTTGTGCCACGATGATTGTGGCGGGCTACTTGAACGTGGCGAACCTGTCGCAGCATTACCCCCTCCTCAGACCCATCGACCCGATGCTTAAGACAGTGAAAAGATACATGCGCACTCTCACTCGTTTTTCGACGATTTGTCATGATAGGGCTTCATGCGGACTACGTGTACCACTTCCGTGGGATTGCGGCGTCTTGAACTCACGTGTCCAGCGGATCTGACTTCATAAGTGACGTTGCTGATACGGTTGAGTACTTCATAAGGGTCGAAGTATCGGCAAAGAAGCTTTTCAGAGAGTCCGCGGCGGCACACTGGTATCCATATCCACACTTTGTCACCGGGATGATAAAGTGCGTCACTGCGTCGCTTGTTGTATTGACTAGAATCAACGTGCTGTTGGTGGCGTATTCGGTATCTTGCCATTTGCCGTGCTTCTTCGGCTCTTTGCAAGAAGTCATCTAAGTCAGGTGGATAGCTGTTTTCATCCTGTAGTGGTAACATGGCATCCAGCGGGGTGGTCACTCTTCGGCCGAATACTAGTTTGAAAGGGGCAACGTGGGTTGTTTCTTGAACGGCTGTATTATATGTGAATGTTACGTAGGGTAATATTTCATCCCACTGTTTATGTTCAACATCGACATACATTGATAGCATGTCGGTCAGAGTTCTGTTGAGGCGTTCGGTTAAGCCATTTGACTGAGGGTGATACGCCGTTGTTCTTCTGTGATCGGCATTTGTCATGGGCATCAGACATTGCATAAGGTCTGCAGTAAATGCGGTGCCCCGCTCTGTAATAACGACGATGGGCGCACCATGTCTGAGCACTATGTTGTTCACAAAGAACTTGGCGACTTCGGCAGCTGTCGCACTGTATAGAGAGTCAGTCTCAGCATAACGGGTGAGATAGTCTGTGGCTACGACTATCCATTTCTTGCCTGCACACGATGTCGGGAAAGGTCCTAGGAAGTCCATGCCGATTTGTTGGAATGGGGCATCTGGAGGGTCTATTGGCTGGAGAAGGCCGGCTGGTTTTACGGGTGGAGTTTTGCGCCGTTGACATTGACAACAAGTTTTCACGCAGCGCTGCACTGATGTGAGCAACTTAGGCCAATAGTATTTCAGGCAAATCCTGGCGAATGTTCGGCTCACACCCATGTGTCCAGATGTTGGCTTGTCGTGGCATGCGTGCAGAATTTCTTCTCGCATGGCTGTGGGCACGACTAGTAAAACGTTTCACCATTAGGTTCGAAGTTCCTCCTGTAAAGGACACTTCCTCGAAGGCAGAATGCGGAGAGCCCTCTGGAGAATATGCGAGGGACTTGAACGTCGAGACCCTGCAGGTGTTGTATAGGCGCCAGCAAATCCGGGTCATCTCGTTGTAGTTGAGCGATTTCGGATGCGCCGACAACGGCTAGAAACGGGAAGTCTTCCTCTTCAGGTATACTCGGATCGACGGGAGAGCGTGACAGGCAGTCGGCAGCGCTGTGTTTCCTTCCAGATTTGTACACGACCGTAATATCATACTCCTGCAGCCTCAGACTCCATCTTGCTAGTCGACCTGACGGGTCCTTGAGATTTGCCAGCCAGCATAGAGCATGGTGGTCACTGACAGCTCTGAACGGTCTACTATAAAGGTAGGGTCGAAACTTGTTTATTGCCCAGATGACTGCGAGGCACTCTTTTTCAGTTGCGGAGTAGTTTGCCTCAGCTTTTGATAGTTTGCGGCCGGCGTAGACTAACACTTTCTCTTGACCATTTTGCCACTGGACAAGGATGGCGCCGAGGTCGACATTGCTGACATCGGTATGGACTTCAGTGTCGGCTGTCTCATCAAAATGGGCAAGTATTGGTGAACCCTGTAGTCGTTTTCTTAATTCGTCAAAAGCTTTCTGTTGTTCGCTTTCCCATGTGAAGGGCACGTCGTCTTTTGTCAGTTTTGTAAGAGGTTCCGCAATCTTTGAGAAGTTTTCCAAAAATCTCTTATAGTAGGCACATAAACCCAAAAATCGACGCACTGAGTTTTTGTCTCTGGGTGTAGGGAACCTCCGAACATCGGCTGTCTTTTCGGGATCAGAACCGACACCATCGAAACTAATGACATGTCCAAGGAATCGCAGCTCTTCGAAGCCGAAGTGGCATTTTTCGGGTTTGATTGTCAATTTTGCTGACCGGATGGCTTCCAATACTGTGCGTAGTTGCTCTAGATGTTTGTCAAACGTTGCAGAGAATACCACCACGTCATCCAAATACACTAGGCATGACTGCCATTTCAATCCGGCGAGGACAGTGTCCATCATTCGCTGGAACGTCGCTGGTGCGGAACAGAGGCCGAATGGAAGCACTTTGAATTCGTAGAGGCCATCTGGTATTACGAATGCTGTTTTTTCACGGTCCCGCTCGTCGACCTCTATTTGCCAATATCCGCTTTTCAGATCTGAGAAGGAGAAAAACTTTGGGGATCGCAACCGATCTAGTGTATCGTCGATACGTGGCAAGGGGTAGACATCTCGTTTAGTTACACTGTTCAGTTTTCTGTAGTCGACACAGAATTTAAGTGTGTTGTCTTTCTTCTTAACGAGCACTACGGGGGACGCCCATGGACTATTCGAAGGCTGGATGAGATCATCCGATAGCATCTCCTCCACTTGCTTCTTGATAATTTCCCGTTCTTTCTGTGACACCCAATATGGATGCTGGCATATAGGCCTCGTGTCGTCTTGCGTTAAAATTTTGCTTCGTGACTGACGTGCGCTGGACCTTCGAGGCACTTGAAAAGCAATCAGAGAATTCTTTCACCAAGGCGTAAATCTGTTTCTTTTGACTGTCCGGAAGGCTCTGATTGACGGTCACGGATGTGTCGATGTTGCAGGCCACTGGTCGAGTGGTTGATGTCGTTAACCTGCATAGTTCAGTCGCCATACAGAAGTCGTGTAAATAGACAATAGCCATGCCTTGAGCGATGTGTTGAAGCTCACTGGAGAAATTTGTGAGTAGGACATCTGCACGGCCATTCGTCAAGTGAACAAGACCCCTAGCTAGGCAGACACCTTTGTTCAAAAACAGCCCTACATTTGTATCCGCTATGCCTTCGCGGTTGTACAATGCGTCATTTTCTACGAGCACCATTATACTGCAGCGTGGCGGCACAGTTACGTCATCATGAACAACGCGTAGAGCAGTTAGGCGTCGTTCCTCAGATTCCTCCACAGGTATAGCTCGTTCAGTTGAAAACGACACGCTGGACCTACGCAGGTTAATTACGGCGCCATTAGCTCGTAAAAAAACCATTCCTATAATGAGTTCCCTTGAACATTCTGGCAGCCCAATGAAATTGGCCACGCAAATAAAGCCCCGTATTTCAAGACTTGCAGTGCATCTGCCACGGGGCGTAATAATGTGACCGCCTGCCGTGCGTATCTGCGATCCACTCCACTGTGTCACAACTTTGTTTAGCTTTTTCACCATCTTGTGACTTATCACTGAATAATCAGCACCGGTGTCGACTAAGGTAATCAGCTCCCATCCTTGCATTCTCAACCGCAAATCTGAAGTAACATTTTCGTTGCTGCACCCATCTACCGGAAATACACCGTCATCACCCTCAAACCAAATTGGAGGATCTTCGTAACTGACGTTATCAGCAGCCTCACCTCCACAGGTCGCTTGCTTCAGTTTTCCGGGTGTGGACTTGGAGAGCGATGACCAGGCTGCCTTGAAGGTGTGCGTGGGTTGGATGACTGGTAGCGCATAGGCGATGGTGACCGTGACCGGTGTTGGCGTAGAGGTGGCGAGTTTTGGCGCGTGGACAAGCTCAATCTCCGCTGGTCGTTTGCCGTTTTGGGGGCACGGTGCATACGACGGGAAGCCTCTTAATCCAGCCTGTCGGTAAGGACAGAATCTGTACAGATGACCCACTTCCCCACAATGAAAACACAGAGGCCTGCGCTCGTGATCACGCCAGACGTCACTTTTCCTGGGCCTATGCTCCACATAGTGATATGTGCTACGCGCTCCCGGGGGCAGATAGGTAGCTGTTGGTTCCCGTGGACGAGGTGCGCTGCGTGCCGCAGGTGGGAGAGGAGTCGTTGCCATCGCAACTGCTGCATTGCTGTGTACCATGGGTTGTCCGACAACCTCAGAGTATGTTCGGATAGGTCGAACCGGCTGCAGCTCACGCTCTGGCTCACGTATCACTTGCCTCAGTTCGTCACGCACAACGTCCGTAACAGATAGTGCAGTTGAAGCCTGGGGCATTTGCAGTCTGCTCGGTTCTTCTCTAATAACTGATCTAATGAGCTCTCGCAGGGCTTCAACGTCGTTTCGCACGCCTCCGGAGAATACCTGTGCAGATGCGCAGTTAAGATTCCGGTTGTACTACCGAGCCCGCTGTTCCAGTGTTTTTTCGATGGCCGTCGCTTCCGAGTAAAACTCAGCAACTGTGCTCGGAGGGTTGCGGAGGAGAACAGCGAACAGCTCTTGCTTCACTCCGCGCATTAGATGGCGCACCTTCTTATCCTCAGCCATGTTGTAATCCGCACGCTTGAACAGACAGACCATGTTCTCAATGTACATAGGAGCACTCTCGTTCGTGAGCTGGTTCCGCGATTGAAGAGCAAGAGCAGCCTCCGCCTTTTCTTTCCGGTCTATGTTTGCGAACGTAGCCACCGCTTGTCGTCGAAATACCTCCCAGGTAGACAACGAGGTTTCATGATTCTCAAACCATGTCTTTGCGAAGTCTTCCAGGGCGAAGTATACGTGATGGAGCTTCTCTCTTTCGTCCTATCCATTCAAGCTGGCCACTCTCTCGAACAGGTCCAACCAATCTTCAACATCCTCGTACAAGTCGCCGTGGAATACTGGCGGCTGGTGCGGTTGGCTAGTGAACACTTGTGCCGTGGTTACCTGGCTAGTAATAGTGGTGGCATCCATCGTTTGAATTCCCCTTGGTGTGAAGTGAAGAGGACCGAACTCAGGTGAGTCACCTCGAAGACGGCGACTTGCCCTCTGGTGTACAGGAGTCACTTCCACGGGGTTGATACGCTGGTCGTCGGGGCTACGCTGTCTTGAGCTCGCGGGGCTTCGATTCATAACCCAGCGCCTCCACCAGAAATGTAGCGATCCTGAGGCCGACAGGTTAAAAAAACAAGCGTTTTTATTAAGGCGAACTTGTGCCCACGATTCTAAAGACTATGGTCGTCAAGTTCGAGTAACCGAGTGGCACAGATCCAACTATCTTCCTCTTCCTCGTTGTTGGAGCGCACGAACGCGTGGCGCATGCCAGCCGAACCGGGTCTTGCTGGTGCTAGTGCCACGATGATTGTGGCGGGCTACTTGAACGTGGCGAACCTGTCGCAGCAAAACATATATATATATACATACGGCCTCCTTTTTGTTTTGTTTTGCAACTATTGCATCGGCAGCTAGCCATGGCTACCTGGAATGAGGAAGTCACCTACCTCAGGGCGAAGATAATGCGCGCCTGGTCGCAAATAAAGTTTACTCTCTTTCACACTACTTAAGAAGTTAGGAAAATCCCGACATTGACTGTAGTATATAGGGATTAAGCGAGAGATGAAATGTGAGTAGCACACTGGAAACAAAAGTGATGTTCAATGCGAGGCTTTACCTCTTTCCGGAAGATAAACAAGGTTCCAAGAATGATGATGAGCGAGGACAAGACCACATTGAATATCAGATCTCTTGTGATCATAGGCTGCTTGGTGTTGCGAGGAGGTTGCTTCAACACATCATGGTCCACAGGCTCAACACCAAGACTGCAGGAAAAATGTGAAGTGAGTTGTCCGACACACAGAAGAGGCACAATTATTATTTATATGAATAAGTACCGACAGTTCTTTTTGGCCCACAATTACAATTTGAGTATATTTGCACTACAGTAACTTACAGGTTTCTAAAGTCATTCTCAGGGGTGGCTCTAATTTGCTTTATAGCGATAGTAATCACTTGAGCACTCATGACGGATTTCAACCATTGCTGTCACAATCATTATGAAATTCAATTCGATAACGTCACTCTGCATATGGTAAATTATACCTGAGTAAAAGCTTGTGAGCGCTGGCAATGAACTCGACTGAAGCAGAAATCAAACAAGCTGGCCATCTTCGCTGCATGGTAGGAGCATGCAATAACATTCCCCCATATGAGAAGCCTGCCGTCGATTGCTCCTTGTGCAGAAAGAAAACGTCCCACCAGCCTTCTGTCAAGCGAAGGAGCACAAAGGGGTGCCAGGGGAGGAAAGGGTGGGCGTGTTGCTTGAGCAGCAACTACGAACTTCGATCGAAAAGCCATGGTGGCGAGCGCTGGTGCACTATTTCAGTAGACATCAGCAAACAGCTCGTACATCCTTTTATGTGCAGTACTCTCACTGTATTGACATGACAGACTGAGCGAAAACCAGTTCTCTTCCTAGAGCGGCCACATCCCCATACACCAGCGTTATATGGAGAGTTACGAGAGATTGGATCCAAAAGAGTTAGCTGCTAGCCTTACTTCATCTAACATTACAATTTGTTGCTACTGCATTCGTTGCCTCACCCTTGCTTCAAAACTGTAGTGATTTTATATCCTGTGTTTTTTTTCACATGCACCCAAGGCATGATACATAGGTATTTTTCTACTCAACCATAATGAAGCTAGCATAGCTTGTACTCATACCCCTGTCCTTGTGTTTGACAGTGTAAGTTTACAGCTGCTGAACCACCGTAGAAGGTAAGATTAAAATATAATAGAGTTACAGTAGAGCGGTACTTACAGCGTGTCTCATCAATTACACTGGGAAAACAACATTATGTATTATTTAGGTAACAAAGCATGATATCACTGTTAAGAAAATATTGAAAGAAAACCGAACCAAAATCCTGAAAAAAAAAGCCACAATCAAGAAAGAAATAAAACTTCAGTGTATTGCTATGATTTTTAAAATTCTTCCTGGAAAAAAAAAAGTTGAATATAAAGATAACCAGTTTTAAAGCTTTCAATCTATATATTACCATCATTGATTGATATGTGGGGTTTAACGTCCCAAAACCACCATATGATTATGAGAGACGCCGTAGTAAAGGGCTCCGGAAATTTCGACCACCTGGGGTTCTTTAACGTGCACCCAAATCTGAGCACACGGGCCTACAACATTTCCGCCTCCATCGGAAATGCAGCCGCCGCAGCCGGGATTCGAACCCGCGACCTGCGGGTCAGCAGCCGAGTACCTTAGCCACTAGACCACCACGGCGGGGCTATATATTACCAGCATCTGCGACTTCATTTTGCCAGTGCAGATTCTGGTAAATTTAGGTGAGCTATTGATGCAGATATCAGCCTATTGCATCTACAGGGATGGAACAGTGTACACGTATTTGGGAGCAGTCCTGAGAGCCGGCAAAAGTGCCTTTTGTAGCAGGCTTGGGGCAGCCGGAAAGGCATTTTAAAACAAGTTTAGAGCAGTCAGAGTGAATGTCAAGATCGCATATAGCCCCATTTCACGGCACTTGTCGCGCAACATTTGTCCAATGCCGCACTTTTCCCACACCAAGCCAAATTGATGCAATAGCCTTATTAATGAGACAAAAAATATGAGTAGACTACCAATGGGTTTTGGTTGTCGCTGTCATGACCCGTATTAAGCCCAAACTCGTCACGTACCCCCGCGCATCGTGTGCTTTACCCGCAGGTAAAAGCACGTGAGCGAGGGTGACAAACGCCGCTGATGCAAGAATTAAATGAACTGAGACCGTCACTTGGAGGCAGCATGGGATAACAGTACCCCGCTTGGGAAGCCTCCAGTCAAAGTTCAGAGGAAACAACACTTCCAACTTGAATGAGCATGAAAAGATGCGAGAAGGAAGGGATGTCGCTCAAGTGGCAGCCGTGAACTTTGCTTCTAAGGGCATGGTCGTGATCGCTGGTGCGTGGGCTAGCTCGGCAGCCATAAGCAGGCGGTTCTAACGCACTACAACAGGCTGTGCTGCCTTTGCGAAGAGACTGCGCGAAAAATGTTGCTGGCCTTGCGTGGACTCTTACACAAGCATTTTGTACAGGTATGCGAGATCGGATGGAAAGGAGTTTGTTGTCAGGTTCACTTCATATAACATTACAATTTGTTGCTATCGCATTCCTTGCTGACCCCTTACTGTGCAGCTCACGCTTCTTTAGCTATGTACAGCCAGCCATTTTTTAAACCTGAACAAGCAAGCATCAACTAAGCATCATCTATCGAGTCCATAAGCGCTGTATAACATAGCACAGTGGCAAAATGAACGAGAATATGTGTGTGTGCTAGATGAGCAGTCCTGCGCACCCGTCTTTACTAGGCTGTTTCGGGAACCTGCTATTTCATTTTTCTGCAGCCTCGACTCAGCGTTGAATGCGAATCATCAGCTGATCTCATCAATCACCTAAGGTGTTGTATGTGGTCAGGTGCGCTGTTTTCATTGGCACCTCAGCAACAGATTCTTGGTTTCATGGCTAGTTGCTACTGATGGTGTCGACACTACCTTCTTCGACAAATTCCAGTGAGAAAATTACAGCAAAATGACGATGAAAAAAAAAGTCGCAATTAAAACGCAAATAAATGCAAAGTGGCTGGTGCTAGCAGATGTTGCAAAGCCGCTGAAAAGCCAACTTGATCCCGACAAAAAAAAATGTCAGCCAAGGTGACCTCCCAATCTTGAGGAAGCTACTTCCATATGGCTGAAAGCCATGATTACCAAATAGCTGCCAGCATGTGGTGCTGTTTCAAAGAAAAAGGCAGAAACCCTGTTGCTTCAGGTGAATACTGATAATAATGATTGTTGGGGTTTTATGTCCCAAAACTATTAATACACAACAGCCAGCACAGCCTGGCTGCAAGAAAGAGAAAGACGACGTTGGTGGCTGGTTGTTGATGAACTGTCGCCATCTTGTTCGCCGAGCACGGTGCATCGTATTCAATTTATTAAATAAGTTACCCGTAACATTATTGGTGGAGGTGGACGACTCCCGTACCTCGATGGAGACGCGCAGCGGTCGCAACACCGGGGACTATTCGACTACTTCCACTGCCACTGCCTCATCCCCACCGATCTCTCGATCCGTGTCGACAACCTACGTCACCCTGCCACCCCTGCGGGATCCTGGAACTTTCTCCGCTGACGGTACCATCGATGTTGACTCCTGGCTGCACCGGTACGAGCGAGTCGGTGCTACCCACCGCTGGGATCCCACGCTCATGCTCGCCAATGTTGTGTTCTACCTCGAAGGCACGCCGCGGACATGGTTCGAAACCAACAAAGCCGAAATCACAAGCTGAGATCTTTTCAAATCAAAGATCCGTGATCTCTTCGGCGATTCATCTGGTCGTCAGCTCACTGCCAAGAAGACTCTCGTCACTCGCGCCCAGACGTCTACTGAATCGTACGTCTCATACATTCTTGACGTCTTGGCGCTTTGTAGCAAGGTCGACCAGCGCATGTCAGAAGAAGAAAAAGTTAATCACGTCCTCAAAGGGATTGCCGACGATGCTTTCAACCTGCTGGTTTTTAATAATGTCACGAGCATCGACACGATCTCGACAGAATGCCGCCGTCTAGAACAGGCTAAAGCCCGCCGCGTCACCCACGGCATCACGCGTCTGCCGAACACAGCCGCTACTTTCTCTTGTGATGATGCCGTCCGCCCAGTTCCCCGATGTGACAACCTCACCCGCATCATACGTCGTGAGGTCGAGGCAGCCCAACCAGTAGCTACTCCATTTCCAACGCCTAATCCTCCACCGACCACTATCTTACTGATACAAGCCGTCGTTCATCAAGAATTATTGAACGTCGGCCTACACCCCATTCAACCAGTCTACTCTGCCGAGCCTTTTTATCGTCGCCCCTCCGCTCCTCGATTTGGTTCTAACTACTCTCGACAGCGCAATTTGTCTGAATGGCGTACACTGGACGACAAGCCCATATGCTTCAACTGCCGACGTGTCGGTCATATTGCTCGCCACTGCCGCAATCACTGGGCTCCGCCGGCACACAATGGGCCTCCTACCCAGGCCACTTCTGTCCACCAGTCGTCCTCGACATTTCATTTTGATTCCTTATGCCGACCACATCTTCTGATTCTGCCGCACCTCTGATGAGACCTCGCTACGCCCGCTCACCATCCCCTGCTCGCAGTCAATCTCGTTCGCCCCCACAACGCCGTCCTGCCTCTCCGACCTATTCGCAGCGCCCCCGACCGGAACACTAGGCAGTGCAGCTTCTGGAGGTGAAGCTGCATTGACGACGACCTCTGCAAGAAATCCTCGTGTAACATTACCGACCACCCGGAATCTGTTAAACTTTATTTTAGACAATGCACCTGTGCGCGCGTTGATCAATACCGGCGCGCATGTGTCTATAATGAGTGCTGCTCTTCGTCCCCGCCTAAAGAAAGTTATCACACCCGCCTTGAACCGAGCTGTTCGAGTCGCCGACGGGGGAACTGCCGCGATTATTGGCATGTGCTCTGCTCGTGTGACTATCGCCAATAGAAGCACTGCTGTTCTTTTCACCGTTATAGAAAATTGCCCTCATGAAGTAATTCTAGGCATGGATTTTCTAACCGCTCACTCGGCCCTTATAGATGATTCAGCCGGCTGTCTTGACCTTGAAATGCATCTAGTTTCTGATCTGAACAACCCACCCCAAAGTCGCCTTTGCTGCATTGATTTCGCACGCCTTCCGCCTAACTGTGTCACACATATCGACCTCTTCTCTACACCACCTGTACCTGACGGCGATTACAT